AACTCTAGCTCTGAACATCGCCGGTCTGTGTAACTCTTCTGACGACTCTGGGTCGTCAGTAACCTCTGTCGGACCTGCTGGACCTGATATGTCGTCTTGAGCACTATCTCGGTGCTCCCCTACACTCTCTGTTCGGAAGGGTGACGAGAAGCCCTACGCTTCGAGCAACTCATCACAACCTCAAAACTCAAAAATCCAAGGTTCATAAAAGATCGAGCCAACTCCTTTGCCTATACTCTTGGGCTCCAATTCACAACTTGGAAACTCAGAACATACAACGATCTCCCCTAAGACAGCCGAACCAATCAGAAACTTCCAACCCGAGGAAGAACAAACCCCTTACTTATCCTCAAGTAAACTGAAACCCTACAGAAGGTCTGAACTCCCGTCAGACTGAACCATCTCAACACAAATCCCAGGACGATTCAGCTTCGGCCCCGAACTGAATGACCATGTCCGACCGAAACTATCCACTGATATCCGCGAACATAACTCCAGCCATCTCCCAATGTCCAACACCAAACACGGATACAGGGTCGACTCCCGACCCAACCGTGTTACCGCCACAGGCTACCCTTAGCACCTTCGGCAGTACGACCCCACCTCCGATCAATCTAACAGGGCTATCTCACCCAATCACACTATATACTCAATCGCTAAATTCACTTTACCTTAAGTGAATGTTACAAACCGATATGTAGCCACTCGTCACTTCCGACCTCTGTCGTCTACCTCTTACTACTCTCCATGTGCGCTGTGGTCCTCCCCACGAGCCGACCCACCCAGTTCTAGAACATCAGATGTAAACCATAACCACTCGAATGAAGTCCATCTGAAAGTTTGAAATCCCAACCTGCATATCTTTCTTACGGACAGAGCCAAACTCAAACACAAGAGTCTGGTTCTTCAACAGAATTGAACTCGCTCAAATTCCACTTGATACTCAACTCATGCCCCGAGATCCGAGGATCTACTTCGTGCATTACACTTCAATCCTTCCGACTTGCGACAACCCCTTCCCTAAATTGGAATGTAACGGTTCCCGACAATCACTGAGACCCCAGTCTCACATCTGATCCGGCCACCAGATTCTCAAAGTCTCAAAAGATAAGGCTACTCAACCTAAGAACAACTCCTTGTCACACCCTGCCTAGTGAATGCTACGGCTCCCCGCAGTCCCATAACACTCTCTCACTGACTAATGAATACTATGGCTCCCCGCAGTATCATGACACTTTTGCGTTGACTAGTGAATACTACGGCTCCCCACAGTATCACGACACACACACACACTCTCTCTCTCTCTCTCTCTCATGGACTTATGGATGCTACGAATCCTCGTAGTCTTACAATACTCTCTTATCACCCCACAATCTCACCCTCAGGTCATCACCACACTGCGTTCGCTAACTCATGCTCCGCGACACAACATAGATAGGTGCACACACCTACCCAGATTATGCACCACCACTCTTGATGTAAATTCTCGTAGACAAGGCACTTTTCTCGGCACAGTTACACCCTTGGACAATCCCCGTCTAACGATAATTATTGTTGATCTCATATTCGGAATTACAGTCGCTTGACGTTCCACTTGCCATATGAAAGACCCAGATCTCATAGTAATCCAACAATTTAGGGCACCACACTCGGATACCTCGATACACCATCCCAGAATCTCACGATGTCTCGCCACGACCACTGATCTTCCACTTGCACAACTCGAAACCTTGAAGTACTCCAAGTTACGATTTGAAGTACGGAGGAATCGTCAAAGACTGAGAACACGTCGTTGACAATCCGAAACCCCGTCCTCCACTGATCAAAACCCATGCGAAACTACTCATACCAACTCCAAAGTCTATTGACAATCAACTGCTGCCCTTCCTGGAGTACGGACACCAACCAATACGTCGAACTATCATTCTCTAGACAATCGAATCTTGACCCCAGCAACCCAACTGTCTCGAAACTCAACATTGGCATACCCGAAGAAACACAGATCACAATCGGTTTCCTGTCTGAAGGCCATCTGCCGTGAAGACACTTATTAATCCCTGAGCACATACAACATGCATCATCTCACTCTACACTTTGTCTTGATTATCTCAAATGCTAAGTCTCATATATTCAGACCGCAAATCCTTATAACTCAACCCTCGGAGCCGCAACCTCAACAGATTAATAATCCTCCCCAGGGGTGGATGCAGGATTTCACAGTAGGGGTTGCACGGGAAAGTCATGGGTTGCACGATAGCAGAAAAAATAAAAATTTCGAAAAATTTTCCACTACTGCCAGAAAAGTTAGGGGTTGCCGGTGCCACCCCGTACCCCCCTAAATCCGCCCCTGATCCTCCCAACGTAAATACCCAGTTCTCCCCCACTTAGGGTTCGAACCATCGCCACTGGGCATGTTGCATAGACCTCACTACGATCTGGCTCATCAATCATACCATCCCCACTTCTTGGGACGTACCACGCAACACTCGATGATCTCTAGGATAATGACCAATTAACTCCAAGTATCCCGAATCTCGGATGAAGACCTCGGAACCCTCTCTATGTGACTGCCTCTAGTCATCCCCAAATCTCATACCGACACTTCACCGGTCCTCTCGACTGTCCCGAATATGTTATGACTCTCTTCCTGAAAACAATGAAGTATCACTCACACCACATCTCCTGATTCCTCAACCAACAGTCCATTGCGTGAGTTATCCTAAAAGCAAGGGACCTCACTCTCACAGTCGATATACAACGTAGACAACGAGGGCCGTCGCCCCGACATACTCCTCTTGATCACCTGGAACTAATGCTAAAATATACCTTACTATACTTGACTAAGGCATATCATTGTCCTCATCCATCTCAGTCTCCCTTTCTGATGACTCTCTCGTAGAATAAGGAATACCTCGCAGCAGACATATCACAATTACTCTGGTGAAAATATCGCAATCGTATGCTACCCCATGGGGTGTACCTCCATACTCTGAAACCGGAAGCTCGTTATCTCTTTTGCTCCACACAGGAAACAGGAATAACGCAATTCTCGTCACCGAAAGTGACATCTCAACTATCGGCCGATCGCTCATCCCAGACCGTAATCCTCCGCAAAGCATCATCTCCCCTTTTCATTGAGTCCTGCGACTCTAACTGGCACCTCACTAGTAAAACCTCTCGGGATCTAACTCAATCTTCCTCGCAAGGTACGCTCCATTGAAGCTCGACCGTCATGGCCCTCTGGCCCCACAATCTATCATATCAATTCTCAATCTGAACAACCACAACAGGATAACTAGTAAATACATACGCACTCTCTGCTACGAATCATGGTACTCGAACCATGGTATCTCCTCTCAATCTGCTATTTAGAACCTCGGGAATTCTCCCTGTTTCGAGTATGGGTCCTCCGCTTTCAGTAGTACGGGCCCATACTACCTGCCACATCGACCCATACTTTCCACACAGATTGTCCCAGATTTCCTAAGTAACTGCTCAACCTTCTCGATCACCAATCCCATTACACATGTTCGCTCTCCAACGAATACTCACCTCTAACAGCGTACTCATCGGACTAAAATAACTCCCTAGGCTCTTCCTAGGTTCTCACCCTTTCTCTGCCATCAGCTGCTGATGTAACATCATGATTTTTACTCAAATTTTTTTTCCATTTATTTTAAAAATCTTTTAACTGAAAATGCAACGGACGACTGTAAACATTATTTATTTTAAAAACATTTCAAACCACAACGTTACGTTCAATTCAAAACCAAAATATCAAAAGTATCTAACAGTAGTGGAAGCATTAGTATCAAAAATGTAATAACGTGTCCAAGTAGCATCTTTATTCTAAAGATAAACTACCCAAAAGTGACCCCATCTCACAAAGTCGGGCTCCTAAGCTACCTGTACCAATCATAAAGGCACAAAAGTAAAGAAACAAGTGTCAGCAAATGCTTCGTGAGCCAATAGTAGTTTGTACACAATCAAAGGGAAAACATACCATCCCTTAACGGGTCAATCATTCAAATTATAATCATATAAACAAAATTTTCATATCAATCAATAATCAATCATCTTTCACATAAAATTCAATCATTCAGTTTTGTATCATCCATTCACATTTCATTCGTTTGTGTGACATCAATTGTATTTCATGCATAATCATATCGTAATTGTATATCATCATATCAAAGGAAGGTATCATAATCGTATAGGCGTAGGTAGTCTCGTGGTAATACCTAACCCCAAAGGAAAACTCGTTCGCCACTGGTGTGCCTGTCCAACCAAATGATTTAGGTGGTTCGCGACTCCCACCCGTCACACCGACCCCAAGACTCCACTTTCACTACTCCGACTATGTAATGTACAAGTACATTACGATCTCGTTCTGGTGTTGGTACAAGCGGTGGCATTCATCCGCCACCTCCCAACACCTACGTGATGTTTGTACAAGCCTCGTTCGAATGGCCAACATCACTCCAGTCCGCAAACACCGAAGTGTACGCGTACCATGTGTCGCACGGGCATCTAGAAAGACCGAGCAACTCGTAAATGGCTTAAGCTCTTTTCCTAGAAGGTATTTTTCAACCAACCAGGCTCAAATGTATCCAGATAGGGTTTCATGCTAAGTGCTAGGTTCTACCCTTGCCCTCTATGCATAACCCCGCATAATCGTTCGTAAATCAAGTACAAACATGCTATATTTGTATTATCATAATCAAGATTCATAACTTTTATACCAAGAAGATACTCAACAAGGTCATAGTCAAATATCAAACATTTCATATAGCATATCATAGTTGCAACTAATCGTATCAAGTACCAAGATAGGCATATCAACCAAATTTACTAAACATACAAATGTCACAGAAGACAAAACAATGACATATCCCATATTGCACATATTGGCATAATCAACAATTAATAATATTCTAATTTGACTAATCGAGCCGTCTCCGGAAAGTAGTTTTCGACTATTTACAAAGTTTATGAAAAGTCTATCGACTCACCTTGGTGTATTGGTAACACAATCGCTTGTAGCTCCTCAAGTTACCAAAATACCTAAATATAACCAAGATTAAATATGGTTTAGGCTTTAAGACATTTAATTTTAATTTTAACAATCCAAGGTTTATAATGACTTTATGCAAATATATATAGCCTATAAAATTACAACTCTTAATAATCCTACGTATATCATATTTCTAATTTAATAAAGAACATTCCACTAAGGAACCAAAAGCAAGAGATATCTCAATTCCATAGGCAATAAACGTACTTCAATGGATTTCTGATATCATTAGGATTAAAATAATATTTATGCCATTTTTCGCATCGCTTCATGGACACGTCGTTGTCCCGAACACCTTCTGATTTTCCATTACTAATTTATTATTCGCATATGTGATATGTACTTACAAAAATATCACCTTTTTCACAATAAACATACACATAACTAAATTACAGGTATTGTATCTCAACGTATTCTTGAAAAGATAGGAAATAAGCTCTGGGATATTGGCAGCAAATTAACTTGTAGACGAAGAAAGAAGTAAAACAGATGTATGTTTATTGGCGGTCCCTCCTCTTGAAATCAAAAGAAAATGAATAAAAGAGAGAAGTATATGCTTTGACATAAGCTTTCTTCAAATAGAAGACGCTCATGGAGGACATATCCCAAACACACCATTACACGCCTGGGTTTTCATCCCACCTGGATTTCTTCCGTGAGTAGGTACCGAACGAAGAGTCATAGATATCTCGTTTAAGGATTAAAAGCATTGAGTTGACAGAAAGTTCCAAGAACAGGGAATGAAACAAAGGGCTACAACTTGGAAGGAAAGCAACGTGGTGTCAAATATATGCTTCACAAACTAAGGTTTACTAGGAAACTTCTATATCTGATTCATGCATTCTCAATCATTAACAAGTGTATGATCTTTCAAGGTCATGAAGGAAACTTACCAGGTGCAAAGAAGGTTTCCTTTCCACCTGCTCCGATTTCCAGAACACGCATCTCTCTCTCTCTCTCTCTCTCTCTCTCTCTCTCTCTCGTTTTGTTGTCGTCGGTGTAGTAAAGCTTCAGATGGTGATCCGTGATCGGTTTGCAGGAATAGGTCGTCGGAGAACGTAACCCTTCCGGAACACGCACCAGTCCACGATTTATCTCTCTGTTGTCTCTCCCGATTGCCGCTGTGATGAAGCAACTCAACAAAGCGATCGTGAAATCCTTTAGTTTAACCCACAGCAGCCCAAACGACACGAAACGGACGGAAGAGATGGAAACTCACGTAATTTAAGTGCATAAATTCATAGCCTTTTTAATTGCAAAATTTTCAACTTTAGTCCCTGTTCTTTGATACTTATCTCATTAATAACCCTAATCATATTTAATAATTAACTAGGGAAGAATCCACCGGGGTTGCGGGGGTTGGAGGGTATTTCATAGCCTCCCAATTCCTAGTATATTCAAAAGATGTATATACCCATTTTTTCAATATTTGAAGCATGTTCAATACATAATGTTTTTGCTGGAAAAAAGAAAGAAAGTAGGTTGCTATTATAATTAACTCAAAATAAGTAAACTGCTATTTCATGTATCTACATTCAAAACACACCAACCACTTACTAAACAGGAAAAAGAAAGAAAGTAGGTTGGTATTATAATTAACTAAAAATAATTACACACCAACCACTTAATAAACAAAGACATTAACCTATCTATATATCTATCTACTTACTCCTTCAGATTAGCGTAAATTGCATATATGCAACAGGACGGATTTTTATTATTTTTTGTTTTACTGGCTTTGGCTTTGGATGCATTCATCATGGATAAAGCGTACAACCTGCAAAAGAGTGTAGTTTCAGTAAATGATTCCATATCCACAACCAATTTTAATAACTATTTGCTTTAATTAATCAATGGTAGTACATTGATATTTTTAAAACAAACACATCAGTTCTTCAAAGTCCATGCATAAAATTTTCTGTTCCCATAGTCAACACTAAATGGCTAAAATTTGAAAACAAAGGAAACTAATACACTGGAAGTCAAAAATCATATTCATAACTAATAAGAATTCAAAATGTAATAATAAACTCATAAACTAATATACCTGAAGTCAGCACCAACATAAAAGCCAAACAAAGCACGTCCAACACCGACCCATTCCATTAGCAGTAAGTGCTTCAAGGGAGAACCAACAATAACAATGTACAATTGGGGAAGAAAGCGAAGAGGCAATATACTCTCAAGTACACCAGCAAACAAACATAGGGGCAACTTAGTACACTTCAGAATAAACCCCAAAATTTAGATAACAATGATCACCACCATGCCCATCACCTTCAATAAGAAGCCGGAAATATAATAGGGGCAAAGTTTAGAACTATGAAGACAACAACAAATCAAGATACCAAGCAGGGGTAAAACGGTCAAAACTGCAGAAGGCATTTCAGACAACAACCATACTTTTGTTTTCTCTTTTGTGACGTGATGCAAAAAGATGGGAAGTTATTTTTTTTCATGCTAACCTAATGCAAAAATGAAAAATAATTTATTTTATTGCGTTAAATAGCAACATACTTTCCTTTTTCTGTTTCTTTGTGACCTGATGCAAAATAGGGAAACTTTCTTTCCTTATTGCACTAAATTGCAATGTTTTAGTTAGAAAAGTATTTAAAAGTACAATGCTATAATTAGATTATTTTTCAAAGTTCAATACCAAGTAGAAGAAATCATTATGATCCAATTAACAATTTCTTTTTACAATCACATACAGACGGATTTTAGTATAAATTCCTTAATGAAAAGCTCATTAAATAAATGAAATAACTAAATTAGCTAACACTATACTAACTAATATAGAAAAAAGACTTGGTAAATAAAACAGAAAGTTTAACCAAGAAGTGCAGATTTAAAATCCTAAATTAAAAACAATTGAATATATTTTCCTATTTTAACAGTGAATTAAATCGATCTTTTTTTCATTAAAAAATAAAGAGTTAACTGGGACCATTAAATCTGAAAAAGCTGAAGGTTGTCTGGAGTTTTATGTAACCTGCAATGGCAACCAACTTGACAATAAAGCAACCATTAAGAGTTAGAGGAATCTTAGTGGAAAGTTTAAACAGGGTGTAGAATTAAAATTATGTTAGTTTGATAGTTGAACACAAGTAATTATAAAAAAGTCAACAACATATGCCATTCAAACACTGGAACAACATTTCCTGTTGCCAACTCATTTATATGTATATATATGCCCTCACACCCACTTATCCTCTGTCAAAACCAACTTTCTTTATCAATTTATAAATATATTTTTTTACTTCGCTTTTTCACCTAAAATTCACAAAAGTGTAACAAAAACTCACCCATACGGTGGATACACGACGAAAGGTGGTGGTGGAGGTGGCAGAGGAGGAGCAAGTGGTGGTGCTACACCACTGTAAGATGACGATGCACCTTGGCCCATTGTATTTGTTCCTTGAAATGAAATATTCCCATATCCCTATATGTCATTAGACAGGTTGTAGGTTACTCCTTTTGTTAATTAGAGTCTGCTTTCTAGACAAAATAATTTTTGTCAGTTGCATAAATTGCTAAAAAATGTTTCAGAAATGATAAAAAAAATGACCTGGTTTCAACTCCTATTGTTATAAAATTAAATTTGGTCATTTCTATTTAAATCAAGGTAAATTAAGACCAAGTAAGTTAACAAATGCCTCTCCTTATTTTCATCATCAATTATCCAATGGGCTTGACTCACAATTTTTTAAGAACTATAGAACAAACTCATAATTAGTTAGTGATATTAAGTATCATTAAATTAACTCATTTTTGTTTCTACATAAAGACATTGCAGGTAAATGAAGACAAGAATAAAACCATAAAAACCCTTAGGTAATCTATTACTAAGAGGGTTAGATACTTACTTGGTACAAATGCAAGAAGGTTTTAGGGTGAGAAGCTTCTAGAGTTGAATAATTTCATCATATTCTATCTACCTGCATGCATCGTAAGCATGAGAGGGCAGATATGGATAAAAATTGGTTCATGTCTATTACTCTACTTCTTTAGCAATCTTGAACCTACCAACTGGTTTTCATGAGTCAAGAGCAGACTGAGTCGCAACATCCATCATCCCTGCCTAACAACTTTGCAACCTGGTTTAACAAAATCAAAACTGAAATAATCATTCTTTTGATTTTTGAAACACAATGTAAAACTAAAATACAAATATGGAAAACCCCAATTTGCCACTCTTGCAAATCCTTGTGTTTGGATATGATGCTAATGTCCCGGTTCCTTTTGTTTTCATGAATTATGATTCCTATTGTCTGCTGCTCCAATTCATATATGCCTTTCTTCCCTCACATATCTTAACATATCTCACATATTTATGTTCTTAGCTACTTAGGTCACATATTTATGTTCTTACATATCTTCATATAGGACGAAGAGAATACATGGAGTTAAACATCTTGTACAGGATTATAGCTTTCAATAACGGTCCCTCTTAGACATTTCATCGAACACCTGTTAGGCATAGCCAAACATCCAATTTAAAACCTCAATCAAAGTATAAATAACATCTAAACAAATAACATTATAAGACTGAGAACGAAGGGAGAGCGGATACATGCAACGCAGGTGTACTGTTTCCCTTTCAAAGTCGTCCAATCTCTCTATGTGGGTCATTCTTTTAGAGTGGCTGAAAACACGCACAATCAATTGTATGTGTGCATTTTCTTTCTTGAATATACTTGTTATTTTGCTTGATTTCATAGGACAATCTTGCGGTGGAAGGAGTAAATACGGGCTCATATGGAATCAACACGTTGTAAAAGGGTCAATTTGGTCCAGGTTGAAAATCAGATGAGTAACTTCAAAAGCAGATGAGAAGTCGATGAACCGACAAGATTTAAAATCAGATGAGAAGCCGATGTCTTGAAAATCAGATGAGAAGCTGATAAATTGAGAAGTTATTAAATCAGAAGATAAGATGATAAACAGTAACAGACTTTGTTACTGAACAATAAACAACTCAGTTTGTTACTGTTCATAGGTGGAGAACAAAACTTACAGTCGGCGCTGCTGGAGGAGGAAGGTGGTGGAGTGGCATGGTGGGGGGATGAAAAGCGATGGAGTGGCCGGAGGTGATAACCAGAGAAAATCGTATGCGATGTGTGTGTTACCATGTTTTGTACAAAGAATTAGGTAGATAGAGGTGGTGGTAATTTCTGAGTGGAAGAGAAAGACTGTGAAAGACAATTCACCAGTTGTTGTTGATGGCGGTGCATCGTTTCCGTTTCCAATCCTTTAGAGCTGAACAAAGAATCAAGGAAACATCAAGAAATAGTCAAAATAAATGAAGAAGAACACACCAACCTTGAATAAGAGCCCCTATCGCAATCGCGAAAACCCTAGAAATCGATTCTAAACACTCAAACAATCGCGATAACCCTTAGAAATCGATGAGAACCAATGTTTTCCGATGCTAATTAGAAGGAGAACCGATGAATGGAGAATGGAGAGGAACGGTATAATCAATAAAGGTCATGGTTTGGAGGAACGTAAGGAGTGTGGAAGTAACCAGAAAACGCAGAAAGAGAACAGACTGGAAACACAACCCAGGCAAGAAAGGGAAATAGGTTATTTGAAATCAGAGAGAACGATCGAGAGACGAAGAGAAAAAAACGGAGGCGGTAGTCAAAGGCGGTGAAGAGGAAGTGATAAGAGATAGGGAGTGAAACTAAAGTGGCAAAATCTAAAAACAGAAACATTTGGTGGCCAAAATCAGAAGTGGAGAAACTATACTGTGCTTAAGCGTCCTCTCAATTTATTATATATATAATATGATTTATTTTATTGTTTTTTTTTCTTTATAATCGTTTAACATATTCATATAAAATAAACACTCTTTTTAAAACTTTGAGTATTAATTAAATCATAATATCACTTAAAAATATTTTATACATTTTGACTATTAATTAAATCAGAATATTAACTAAATATATTTTTTTAATCATTTAATTACTATTTAAATACTTGATAATCAATTAAATCATTTTATCCTAATTAATCTCATTGTCATATTATTATATATAATATATAATTCCATGCGAAAACATGCATCCGACTTAATCCATTATAATGGAAGACTAACATCGTTAACAAGGAGATTTTTGGGTCGTTACAGCCGAAGAACTCCTCATGATGCCAGTCATCCACCTCCTGAATATCGTCATATTCACTTAGTAGCTGACTCTCATCATTCAAGAGTTTCACAAAGCACAAAGCAAGCAGCATTCGGACATCGAATAACCTCCACCAACGCATAAAACCACTCTAGCATACAACTCCATGGAGATTAGAGACAACGTGTCGCCTCCAAAAAAAATTAAATAATCGAATAATATTTTAACTTTAGAGACAACATGTCGTCTCTAATGCAAATCACTTTCAGCGATGGCACCGATATCGTCGCAAACGAAACCTTTAGCGACAGAGCTACAACGAGGAAGCTATATGTGACAACCGTCGTCGCTATTAACTTTTAGCGACAACATTGATACTTTCTGAGACAACATATGTCGTCTCTAAAAAGCAATTTTCTTGTAGTGCCACTTGCTCTATCTACAACTCAAAAGGCGTCACCGAACTCAGGCAATCCTACCTCTCATGGGTATCTAACTACTCTCTCGGTAGATTCCTCAAATGCACATCTAGGTATCTCTCCTAGATTACGATGCTACTCAAAGCTCTATCTAAAAGATTCCTACTAGGTACTCCTACTCAGCACATACATAGAGCAAATAGCAGATAATATCAATCAATAGCATCCCTTAGGCTAAGGCATCATGAATCAGGCAACTCTAGCTCTAATTTCCAGAAATACCTAGCCTATCCTCTATCATTAAACTCTAATATCTCATAAGTATCTCATAATATAATCAAGTAATGGTATTTTGGGAAATCACCGTTCGGGCTCTGGCTGATTGTACACACTGCTCCGTCTCGTTTTCTCTTTAAAACTCTTACTCGTTTTAGAAAAATCATCATTTCTTTTTAGGAAATTTTCTCAAATCCTCAGTTTGAGTCCAGACATACCCGATATTCGAATTGCTCAAACCAAGGCTCTGATACCAACTTATAACACCGTAAATTTTCAAACAAACTTTTCATTTTAAAATCACATAATTCTGAATAACACATTTCACAATTACCCCCAAAATGTCAATTTATCAAAAACATAAATCCATAATTGTTTAATTAAAATCCAGGATCCTCAAAAACATAACTCCATCTTGTGTGTACAATCAAGGCCGACGCCTTCCCGCGATCCTGAGAAGTACCTGAAACACATATCACATAACATGGTAAGCACGAAGCTTAGTGAGTTCCCCAAATACCACACACATCTCATCAGCCTCTCATGGCTATATCTCGATAAAGACTCCCCGGTCAATGTGTCTCAGTGGAGACCCTCCGGTCCCACAACTCGGGTTGGACCCTCCGGTCCTAACTCAATAAAGCTCAGAATAATACACAACATAAATCACAAAGACATAATGCATGATATCACAATACTCAATAATAGCATACAAGACCCTCCGGTCACACAAAGTTACCACTCATGGTAAGTATAGTGAGAAGACTCACCTCGTAAGTAAGCAAGTAACAACTCGTACCCCTCGAACAGTCTAATCCTCGCCTACACATCATAATCATCTCTAATTGACACTTATAACCTCAACTCGAATAAATTAAGCTAACCCCTCTCTCTAACTCTTGGAATGGGTAAAAGACCATTTTACCGCTCCATGGTTTCCATAATCCATGTCTTGACCAAGCCTTAAAGTCAACAGAAGTCAACACTCGAGTCAACAGTCCATGTTGACTCAACTCGTCGAGTGCCTCTATGCGACTCTTCGAGTTCCTATGTTTTTCTCAGAAACATCGCGAAAGTCCACCTAAACTCGTCGAGTTGACTCATCAACTCGCCGAGTTACCACGTTTCCAGACTCATCGGGGAAAACCCTAACCGACTCGTCGAGTCAGCTCACCGACTCGTCGAGTCCCTTCAGTCCATTTTTCTTAATCAGACGGTTTTAGGCAGCAATGATGTCTCATACTCTGGATCTGACCTTCTAAGGCTCACTTATCACGTAAAGTTGCAAGCTTTACGTTCATGCACGACATATAGGGCTCAAAATGCCAAAACAAGCTCCATAAAGGGTCTCATGCATGGAGACTTGCCCAAAGCTTGATAAAGCTTGGACCTTTGGGCTCATGGGACCTCAATATGTCCAGATCTGGAGTCTCAACTCCATGACAAGCTCATAACACTCTAGAACTCCAAGAAGGATGGGAAAAGGCTCCAAATTCCCCAAAATGAGATCTAACCAAATCAATGAGCAAGATGGTGACTTTTTACTTTCAAACAGAAGCTAGGGATGAATGAACACTAGATCCAAAAGCTCCTTCTCGTCCAAAGTCTTTTGCTCTTCAACTCTCCTCCAAGAATGCACTAAAACTCACAATAGTAGCCTCTCTTTCTCACACACAAGGTTACAGCTCGATTAGGGTTTCACACATGGTATTAGGGTGATAAGAGAGGCAGAAATGAAGGCTTAAGGTCCTTTAAATAGGACACAAACCCGAAAAATTAGGGTTTTCTCACACAGCACCTACTCGTCGTGTCGGGGTCCTCCGACTCATCGAGTAGACTCTAAAAATCCCGCGGCTATCTCAATCTCTACTCGACGAGTTGTGGCCTCCAACTCATCGATTTCCCCTTTCAAAATGAATATAAAATAATTAAATAATATACCTGGGACTCGAGATGTTAGATTAATCTTGGTGTTCCTTGGTCGGGGTTGGACTTAAGGTAGTGAAGGGATCTTATTGTTGCGTCCATATGTATTTGTTTAGGATCAAATAAAAATTGAATAAGCATATTCACAGCTTAGGTTATGTCAAGCCGCATTACTTGTTGGTATAACATTCATATCAGTCTTATATATTGCGAAACATTGATGTTTAGGCTATTAATCTCTTTATCCAAGTGGATGTTCTATTTATGGAATAAAGCGCTACATCGACATCCTAGGTGACCATTGAGTATATCCAATGTATAATTTATTGGCTAAGCACGATACCATTCAAGGTTCGAGCTACTTCAATTCCCCAAAATTATTTCAAGGGGACCGATTCTTTAGTACTAAAATGCTCATCTTTCTGCGATTTTACATCATTAATCTTGGCGTTCTCATCATCACGAAGAATAACATCATCAACATATATACGAGCTATGATATAAGTGGTATCCACCTTGTAAATAAAAAAGGGAATGGCCTGCTCGCGATTGTGTAAAACCAATGTTAATCAAGGCTTTGTAGAAATTTTGATTCTAATTTTGAGGGGCTTGGCGTATTCCATAAAGAGACTTTCGTAAATGATCTACTCTCTCGTCTCTTTCTTTTGCAAAACCTTGTGGGATTTTCATGTACACGTCTTCTATAAGATCTCCTAGTAATAAGGTGTTATGAATCGTGACTAGTTTCGCAACAGGTGCAAAGGTCTCATGGAAATCGATTCCTTCAATTTGTGTGAACCTTCTAGCAACTAGATGAGCCTTGTATCGTTCCACTTATCCTGTGAGTTTATATTTAGTTTTATAATCCCACTTTGAGTCGATAACATGTTTCCATGGTGGTAGTGTAGTGACTTAAAGAACATGGTTTGGCATGCGGAATTAAAGAATACACTATGAACATGGTGATTTGGGTGTCTAAGAGATGTATTCGAATATGTATGGTGTTGCAAAAAAGGATCTAGATCTAAATCTACATAAATAACACACACTTACACACTCAATTTTTACACCTCTCAAGCACACCTCTACAAGTAGAATAAACCCACCTTATATAGAGGTGTTTACATGTCTCTCTCTCACTCTCTATCTCATAAGTCAAAAGGCTAATGCACCACATGCAAGTGGGTCTACAAAAGTCAAACCATTACAAAGTCATACATGGATAACTTTGCACCCCAACATTCTCCCCCTCAACGTTAGGAATGGATGACCCACTTCAAATCTTCCGAAATCGAGAAACTACGCGATCCGAGCCTCAAGGGTGACCATGTTGAAATGAACTTCAAATCTTTAATTCTTCCATGATTCTTCAATTTGGGCTCTAGGATGTGAGACCATACGAACCGAGCATCAACGAATGATTAAGAGCTCCTCAAACTCCAACTAATCACCCAAAAGTTGAGCATAAAAACACACACCGAAAATCTTCAATAAAACCAAACCCATTTCGAACTGAAATCACTTCTGAATCTCCAATCGCATCATTTCATAAACTTCAAAAATTCAAGGTCACTTCGGTCTTCAAATCCGCGTAATATGAAAAATTCAACTTCGAATTTCCATATAAATTTCTCCCCCTTTTTATAATCGAAATTTGATTATAAAACCATCAAGGAAAGAAAACGTGCTCTGTTCGGAATTTTTCGTGTCAAAACTCCCCCTTAACATGTGGCATAAACATTGTGCTTTAATCCGGAAAACCCAAAAAATCTTCTATTTTTAGCTTCGTTCACGGACCGCCTTTGACAAAATTTCTCAAAAATGGGTAGAAATTGTCAATTTCAAAATTCTGCAGTGACCCGGTGCGCCCAAAACAGCCAAAAATGCGAAACTCTCCCCCTTTTCCGAAGCCGGGTAGAAAGCGTCAATTCGCATAAACTGCAGGGGCCTGAAATGCATATTTTT